CCCCTTTCCCGGAGCTGTGGCCCACACCCCCTTCCCGGGCCCGCACCCCATTCCTGGGTGTATGGCCCACACCTCCTTTCCCGGGTCTGTGGCCCACACCCCCTTCCCAGGTCTTTGGCCCATACCCGCTTCTTGGGCCCACACCCCCTTTCCGGGCAAGCATCCCCTTCCCAGATCCTGGCCCCGGCCTGGGCGCCGCTCCTCCCAGCATGGCCTGAGGCCGGCTCTGCCTCCCAAGCCTGGGGCGTGGGCCCGGGGTCTTGGCTCCGGGGAGTTTCCAGCTCCGGCTTGCACAGTGCTTCCCCTGCGTGCGCACCGCAGGCTGGAAGGGACTGTCCCTTGGGGCTCTGTGACCAGAATCAAGTTTGTGCAACCTGAGGCCCCGTCTGTGGGGCTTCCAGGGTGGTGCCGGGCACCTGGGACCCCTGCCCCTTTGTTTGTCCTGTGGCCCTCGGCCGCTCACATGCCGCTGTAGTGCTGGCTGTCCACGTTAACAGCCCACACTGCGCCCTGCTTTGGGGTGTGGGGTTCGTGGGACCCGAGTAGTGCCTGGGAGCTGTGTTGTGGGGATGCCCTTGGGTGCTTACACCGGGCAAGCCCCCAGGAGATGTGTGTAGCCATCTGACCACACTGAAGTGGAAAGTTGTTGGAGGAGGCCCGGTCGTCCTTTTCCCAGGATGCCTGCTTTTGCTCAGAGGTCTTGGGTGGGCTCTGACTGGTGGGAAAGCAGTGGGGCAGGGTCAGCCCCAGAGAGGCCCCGGGCGGTGTCCATTGCCAGAGGACGTCCGCCCTGGGCTCAGCCCGGAGCCTCCCTCGCTCCCTCCAGACTGATTCCCTGCTGACTCAGGGTCCCAGCTGCCTGCTGTGCCTGGGAGGAGGGTCAGTGTGACACAGTCACCTCTGTGCCACTCAGTTTTCCCTCCCCTTCCTTACCCCACCGAGTGCTCTCCCTGGGACAGGGCTGGGCACAAGCACCCCTCGTGCTCCACTCTGCTGGCCTCTCCCGCCCGCCCTGATCCCCGTGGTCTCCCAGGTGTGCGCTAGCCTGCCCCAGCCTCTCACCTGCCCACTCCAGCCCTCTCACCTGCCCACTCCAGCCCACTCACCTGCCCACTCCAGCGCTCTCACCTCCCTACTCCAGCCCCTTCCCCCACTTTCAGGCATGAGCTCCTCCCAGCTGCCCTGGGGTGGGAATCATGGACAGGCTCTGGTCATGGGTGTGCTCAGGTCACAGGTTTGGGGACAAGTGTCTGCAAGGGTGTTCTTCCAGAGGTCCTCGAGAGGCTGAGGCCCCGTGTCTGGTGTGGGAGGTGGCACCTAGGGGTTCTGGAACAAGAGCAGGTGGGCAGGATGCCTTGTCCTCCCAGGAAGGGAAGGAAACTCCACACCCTGGTGCCGTGCTGGGGGAAGGGGAGGGGCTGTCAGAGTCACAGGTGCATCTCGGACAAAGTTTCCCTGCTCAGGCTCCTGGTGTATGTGGCCAGGGCTAGGTGCCCCGTGAGTGCCCTCAGAGTCCTGGCAGATGCGCGCTTTCCCCAGCACAGCCTGCAGAACCCTGGCACTATCTGTTAAGACTGAGTGCTCCAGGGCAGCGGAACTCACCTGCCCAAATTCCAAGAGAGATAAGCTGGCAGCCAGCTTGCACCCGCGTCCTATCCGGGAGGGGCTGCTGTGTGGCTTTGGATTAGTGCCAGCCGGGCCACCCTGGCCTCTGGCAGCCATCTGTTGTTCACCACAGATTGAGTGGGAGCTTAAGCATCTGCCCAGAAGGACAGTCAGAGCGGAGCAAGGATGCAGGCAGTGGACCTGGGCTGGCTGGGACCCTCCGCTCCGGCCTCCAGCTAAAGTTCTTGGCAGTCGCGTACTGCTACGTTGTTATTTTGGAGTCCTGAAGTGGTTTTCTGTGCTCAGGGTTTAGAGGTACTTTCTGTAGACCTAGTGCTGTGAGTCCTGCCCACCCAGTTTGCATGGGTTTTTCCTGTTTCTGAGTTCCTGTCCTCCCTGCGCCCTGCCCACATTAGAGTTCACTTCCTGAAAGTCCAGAGCCTCTGCCCTAGGCCAGTGTGGAGGGTCCTCAGGCTGTGTCCCCCTCCAAGCCCAGCCCCAACTGCAGAGAGGGTGGCCGGGGCAGATTCTGCCCCTCCCTCGAAGGCTTGAGTGTGAGAAAGGGTCAGTGTGGCTCTCCACAGCCTCCCCAGGGTGGGTATGGCCATTCTGGAGCTGGGAATTCTTTGTGTCTCCTGGCCACCAGGTCTCTGGGTGCATACGCCTGGCACAGGCTCTGACCTGTGCCCATTGCCTGCTGGACAGCGGAGGTTCCCAGCAAGGTGCACAAGGGGCAGTGCCTTACACAGCCTCACCTGCTCCTGATACACTGCAGCAGCTTGGAGGGACCCAAGCTGGGCCTCCAGAGGGCCTGAGTACCGAGCTCTGGGACTGCTGCAGTGGAGGACTGAGGGCTGGGACTGCCCAGTGCCTTGTTCCTCCCTCCCTGGACGCCAAGCTCAGGGTCCCGAGCTGTTGGTGTCACAGGTGACTTCTGCGGGTGCGGAGATGCTGGATCTACTTCCCAGTGTCCTGGCCTCTGGTCACTCAGCAGCGACCCTGGCAGGTGGTCACGGGGTCCTGTGTCAGATACAGGGATCTGGACTGCATGCAGTCTGTGTCCCAGGCGGTGTCTGGCTCAGCATGGGTGTGTGCCTACCTCTCAGGGAACCACCTTTGGGGTGAGCGGCCTTTTTCAGCTCTCCGAGGCCATCCTGGGATCTCACTGTGCTACAGCAGCAGGGGGGATTGAGGTCAGAAGAGCCATTTAGCTCCTCAATGTTTATGGCTGTCTGCCCTGAAATTTGGACTTTTAATAGGAATGTGTGTCTATATGTGTGTACACACACATACATGTGAATGTATCCACATGGATTTGTTTTATAACTGATAGCAAAGCAGTTTCACACAGTGATTAAGTCACAGAGCGTCCTTAATTGAGGATTTTCCAGGCCCCACTGGTGCTGGCCCCGGCAGGCAAATGCCAGCTTCCTCAGCTCTTGCTGGGTGTCCTGTGTGCCGGGGTGCTTGTATGGTCTGATTTTTTTTCCAGATTCATAGCTGGGGGTTTTGGTGTCCCCTTATCCCCAGGCTGACTGCTTCCTGCCGCTGTTTGATGGACTGGCAGATGTGTGAGAAGCACTAAAGTCTGGGGTTTGGGGTTCTTTCCACCCAAGCCCCGCTGGGTCCTGGCGAGTCACAGAGTGGGTCTGCCCTGCCCCGCGGAGTGGAGCTGCACTGCCTGGCAGGAGGAGTCACTGTGGAGCTGCAGGCTGCCTGTTCAGAGTGTGTCCCTACCCTCCTTTCCCAGCCCCCAGAGCCCAGTGCTGGGGGAGCCAGCATCCCCATCCAGATGAAGGGTGGATAGGAGCCCTGAAGAATCAGGCGTGGCCCTGGGGACAGAGGTTCTGGCCCCGCAGTGACCTCTGGAAGGGCTGGTTACCTCCCTGCAACCAGTACTGCATCATGGCCCCTTCTTTGGGGACAGCAGCCCTGGTGGCCCCTGGTGTGTGGACCTCACAGTGGGCAGAGCTGCAGTATCACCTGGGCTGCATGGAAGCTCTGGCCTGCATCCCACTGGCCTCTCGTCCCTGGGCTAGGCTGCTCTCTCTCTCTCTCTCTCTCTCTGGGTTGTGGCCACTGCTTTGCACAGTGGTGCTGCCCACTCCCTGGGCCCATCCTGGCCTCTCGTGGGTGAGCAGCACCCTTCCCAGGAGTGTGGCTGTGGGAGTCAGGTCTCGGCCCAGGTCTCCGCCAGAAATGCACATGTGCAGGTTCCCCACACCTCTGAAGCCCCTGCCTCAGTTTGACAGGAGTCAACCCAAGACCCCCTCAGGCTGTGGCTGTGCTGTGGTGTGACTGGGACTTCACTCTGGGCTGGGGCTGGAATTGTGGGGGCCTCAGGGCCAAAGCTCTGGTCCCTTACTGAGGGGTCCCAAGAACCCCAGGGAGCTGAGGTTCGTGACAAGCTGGAGGGGTGAGGAAGCCCAGGAGCACACGTGGGTAGTGCCCAGCCCGCATGCATCAGCCTGGTCCCCAAAGAAGCAGGGATGGGCCTCTGCAGTGCTTGCTGCTGCCTGTCCCCATCCCTTCAGTTTGGCCTTTCTTGGTGGGAGTGCCCTTGCCCTGTGCCCTTCCCTGGGCCCCCACATGGGGTCTGGGCGTGGGGGCTTCACCTCTGCACGAGCTGCCTCTGGTCCTGGACCTGGTCTGCTGCAAGTGTTCAGCATCTGCTGAGTGGTGGTGTCAGCTGGGTCCTGTGTCCTGTGCCCTGCGGCTGAGGGTGCACTGCTGTGTTTGTAAGACGAGTGAGAGGTCAGCAGGTATCCCTTGCGAGCATTGCGAGCTGGAGCTGCAAGCCTCCAGAGGGGATGTGAAGGCCGCTGGCAGCCCACCTTGTTA